GGGTAGCGGTACCACTGGGGTCATACAAAACAACGACCGGAGTTATTCCATCAGCACCAACGACGGCCAGCATCATTCGGTGGTCAGTCAGTCGCACATCACCGGCAACGGCACGCGACTTTCGTTGTACAATAGAGCCTATGGTGCTATTGCGGCCAGCAACAGCACGGACAGACCGCAGTATGTTGTAAGTTGTAACCGGGTATCCGTGCCCCGGTTGTCCACCACCACCGTGTTGCCCTGCTCCTGGACCGCCAGATTTCAGCGCAACCGAGTCACCAATTTTCGCGCACGCTGATCAGGGAAAGCGGAAAATAGCGCCGCGGGCTAGAACCAGGAACTAGCAGCAAAACGTCCGGGGACAAGCTAAAGTGCATGAGAAAGCTCCAGTGCGGACCAATCCTGCCACTGCCCCTGCTCAACGGAAAGTTCATAGCAAACCTCGAAACGTATAATAAGGAAACCTGGCGCAGGGAGATGTGCAGACGAATTGACTGTATGTTCACAATTATTCAAATAACCAGTAACCATCTGTGCATAATATTTAAAGCCATAATATTTAAAACCATTTCAACATAGCTGCAAAAAAGCAGTTAAATGAATTACAGTTAACAAGAAACCGGCATATACAGCTGCAAGCTACATGTAGAACACGCAAGTAGTGCGTAGAGGAGTATCGCAATTGATCGAGGACCTTCGAACAAAGGTGTTTATATACAGTTACGGTTTGAATTACAATAGAATATTTTTAAAGGTCATGACGCTACAAAATTCGCAATATCAATACCAAACTCGTACAGAATAACGCGTTGTATATCGCGATCGTACAGAGCAACTAATTGTACTAGCCCGGAAACATACGTGCATGAGTGATCGTAAGTAGGCAAATAGTACAAGCAGAAGGTCACAGTATAAGAACTCCATATACATGCAAGGTCGTACAATATTATCCCACACAAACATAGATAAAAATAATTTTAGAAAGAAAAAACAATTCGTTTGTTCAGTAGAATTGTAGAAAATCCCTAAAATAACTGTTACGTAATGGACTTTCTGTATATGATTAATCGATCGAAGCGTAGCGAAGGTCCTCTATGTTCAGCGATTATGGAAAATGTGGTGTCCGTCCGTCGGTCACCGCCACCAAATGCACATGTGCGCGGTTGCTTTTGCTATCAAATGCACGCTTGCGCAGTGGCCGTATATGCTCACACGTAATGTAACTGGTGGTGTCCGTCCGTCGGTCACCGCCACACTTGTATTTATAAAAGGGAGGGGCACAGAAACCTTTTATACTGACGGCTTAGGACAGCGGTTGTCTTTTATTTACTTTTTAGTACCGATGCGATGCTCTTTCCACCAGTGCTCGAATTACTGTACCAACTTATAACCACCATACGGAAATTCTACTGAAAAGCTTTTTGAATACTTTAGCCGCTCGATGAGATTGCACTACAAGGTCTGGTACATAAATATCGCACGCTCGTTGTGCGATGTAACGCGCGCGGCGAAACGAAATTAAGCTAAATTATTCCCGTTGACCTTTTCCTAAAAGATAGTTTCGAAAGTGTACTCTAACAAGCTAAACGGCACACCCATCCGCTGGCTTAGAAGAACGTCATTCGTAGTTTGGCCCATACATGTTGTCTTCAAGGGTTTTTTTAACATGGCGGCTATGAGTCGTGACCCATAGGATTGTTTCTCAAAAATTCTGTGCTTGTCCTCGACTTCCTTCCCAACATGAAAATTCAACAGGTAAATCATGATTTTTAGCATGACCTTTCCGTCTGAACCCTGAAACTCCCACCAGAGTTGACTATGCGTCAGTGCGTCACCAGGACGAAAACACTAAGAAAAATAGTCATAATAATACAAATACTTCTGGTCAAAATTAGGGAAACCGTTACAGGCAACCCCTAAAACCCCCGTTTATTATAGGCAACCTCTTTTCGCACCGTGTTTATTATAGGCACCCATTTTTTATTAACATCGTACGCAGTACTATATGACCCGAGACGTTCAAGCTGAAGCTCGCATCTTAACTCATAGCCGACGAAACCAGTGCCCAGCTCGCATCAGGATTGCAGCTCGGGCCACGCACTCGAAATTCTCGCTCAGCACACTAAATTACGAGTCTAATAATTTCTTTCACTGCAGTTCCGTCAGACTAAAGTTAATCTCAGTTCAATAACCATATATGGCGGCGTCGGGCAAACCAATCGTTTATAGTATCGCTGGCGACAGAACGGGAACAATTAAAGGCCCAATTTTTTTTGAGTTATGGTGGTTTTCCCGCCAGTATATTAACGCTTACACGCTTTAATATACAAATCACTTTAATCACGCTTTAATCTACAGCTGTGAGTCATTTTCAAAAGGGTTTTTGAGTGCGCAAAACCAAAAATTGTCGTGCATGCACGCGAATTTTGTGCTATGCATTGGGTCAATTTCCTTAAAATATTAGGCTGGCAAAATTTAGGCGGTTCTATAAACAGCAAAATCTTCATGTGTCCGTGCGATTTTACTGGTTATACCGTAGATTTTTTTGTGCTACGTAACACCCATTCTACTACTGCTGCTCTCTAAGAAATAAAATACTGTAAATAGCGCTAAATACGATAATTGCCATCGTATAATGCTGCGGTACCGGCAATAGCCTAAATGTAAATTACATATTTACGATGTATTCCTGCTACGCTTCGGTCATGTAGTGCCCGCCAGAAGCGAGTGCACTTTTCTAGTCTACTTATTCACTTAGACTTTGTCATCTGTTGCACTTTTACCTATTTATACCGGCTTGCTTTATGCTTTATCTGTACACCACTACTTCTCGGACTTCTTATACACATTACTTCCATTCTTTACTTTCCTGCTCTGCCTAATTCTCTACTTTGTTGGATAACTAATAAACTCACTACTACTCGGATGACCTTTGGCCCGTAATTATTTTGCTCTGCCTAAGTATTTTCGTAACATAACCACGGTCACAAGATTTTACTGCAGTTATTTTTTATACGCCAAGTATAAATTTGAGGAAATAGACTAAAGTACTCAGTGTATCTGTCAGGGCTTTCTTTCCAGTCCGTGACTGCACCGTGATGTTGACGCTTTCCTCCCGACGACGAGCACATCTCACTTTAGTCTAACTGAATACGATTATCGCATGCATATTATACGAAAGAATTTAAAATTTTATATTTAGTTACTGATAAAAAATCTTTATATTTTATTTTGGTTGCTGATAATAAATCTGTACAGCCTCACCAGAAATCGCTGAGTTCAGATTCAGTGCTTTACAGTATCTACAACAACTTACAAGTGGATACGCTAATGTGATAGCCTAAAAGCGCTTGCATGATTATAATTTATGGGCAATCGAGCTCTTTTTCATTTCGAATACAGATAATTTGATGTTACTCCTTAAGTAAACGAAGCCAAGGTTCGGCAAGAAGTTTTTGATACCTTAGCGGCTTGCAAAACAAGAGAATGCAATGGCGTCTAGAGGTTACGACACATGTAACCTTTAGCGGCAGTTCTCTAGCTTTTTTAGCTTCACCTGTATCGCATCCACGGCATTGCATTCTGTGCCGCATCGAGGCTATACTGTATCTAACAAACCGAACTTAGCAAATTTTACTGTTGTACTATGCTACCGGTTATTGATCGAGTAATAAGATAATTGTTGTCCATTTACCTTGAACGTTTCACTTTTTTGCAATTGCCCATGCGTGTCTCTGCTGGGAAAGGAAGGTGCCCGTTTCCATTGCCAAATATATATGATGATTAACCCATGATGGCTGTGCGCAAAGATAAACGCTCTAATGGCACTCACTCGCCTGTTTCTTAAAATAATTGTAATTGTCTCTAAACGAAGCAAGGTGTTTGATCACGGGCAGACAGCAGGCCCTCGATGAAATCGTGCGGTTCGATATACAACTTACAGATTAGCGCTACGGGTATTTAATTTACTATCTTAGAAAAATCGAAATCGAGTAAAGCGTCTCAAATTTACATTCTGCTACTGTAGCTAGAAACTTTGCAAATGTTGATATTACGTAATCACATCGCATTAATTACTACTCTAGCATTTCTCCAATCTCATGTAAATATTTTCAGCTGGGTAAATACAGTTCTGTGGCATTATTCAGAATGTCTGGATGAGATCCGATTCTCCTCTAAAATTAACATCGGTGAGTGATTTGTTTTGACACCTCTTTTAAGTATATTAATATTGTTGTATGTACGTACAGTATGAGTCATGCATAAGCTAAGCATGGCGCGTTTATTGCGCTTTTAATTGGTACCTGACTCGCATAAATTCAATGCGCATAAAAGACTTTTATTGAATTTTCTGAATCAAATGATATGAGTGTTTGAAAAGCCACCGGTTTTCATATTAACAATTATATACGTAATCCACGTGACAAAAATTTACTCGTATTATTATGAATTGTGCGGTACAGCAGGTACTTGCAAATCATAATACGACAATCCGATCCGTTCTCCCCTTCTCGGAAACCAGCACAAGTGCCGGGTACATTGAGTGGGCTGGGACACATTCTTTTTGTCTGTTTTGCCGGCTGCGTGTTACTGCAGCATGATGACAATAAAACGCGTTTTACCGAGGCAGTAATTAATGGTCATCAGGCAACACATTACGAAGCGTTGCCTCCGTTGAAACACAATTTATTTATGTATAATTAAGGTTGTAACTCCAATCTGTAATACTGATATATAGCTATGTTAACATTTACTATTTTTTTAAAACATCCGCCGGCGTCATGGCCACATCATGTTCATTCCAACGTACGGCTGTAAAATTGTACCTATTCCTATTGCACATGCTGTCAGATTGCAGTTATTATTTATCGACAGGATCGGGTCGGTCGGACGCGGAACAGGCAAACTTTCGACGGCTTCTTTATTTACTGCACTATCAGCTATGTACTTGTATATACCTGCATTCCTCTTTCGGGATCAACACACTGCAGAAGGAAAAAATAAAATAATATTTACAGCATAATCGATGCTGTATAGAAGTATGGTTGCGGCTACGAGACCAAACAAACAATGGGATCCTTTTAACAAGCGGTCGGGATCTTTACATAATACAAAGAACTGACATAAATTTTTGCTCATTCAGTGACGATAAGGGGATGAAATAAAAAATCGCAGAAATGTCCAGACACCTGTGCATATGCTTACAGTTACGAGGGAGAAAGCGCCTGCCAATAAAATCCCCAAAGTATATTTATTTGCATTCTTTATTAGCTGCCCGTTATGTATGGAAAAGCAGCATGAAGAATCCAGTCGAAAACCGATTATTTATTTAAAATACGATCCGCTACCCGATGGCGGTTCTATTGGACCTCCCGGTATCATTGGAACCGTTATGACTGCAGTAACGGTACTTGTGTTTGCATACACTGTAAAGAAATAAGCCAGAATGAAATTGGTAGTGCGCGAGAAAACTAGAACGAATCCTTACGATCTGGGCAGGTGACCGTAGGGATGAGGCAGGTGGAAGGGTACAGCAGTCGGAGTCCCAAGCAGTCACCCTGGCTAAGACGGCTCAACCCTCCGAAGGCCGTGTTCCCTGTACTGGGGGGTGCTGCGCCATGCACAGCTGCGTACAGATGGCCGGCAGCAGTGTACTGCGTTACCGATGGCAGAGTGATACTTTTGTAGTCAAAACTTCCGGTCAAGAGGCGTGCACTGTATAGCCGTTGAAGCAGGCCCAGATTTTGCAGATCTGCAGTTATGAAACCCGCACTTTAGGACAAAGAAAATCTCAGAACTGTTGCAACGATATATTTAAAAGGTCAAAGCAAAATTTGATTTTTTGTTTTTGGAATTTGATATGCATTTGTAGTGCGTACACGAGTGTACGATTTGCCTCATCGTATTTGTTAAACTTTATCAAAACTTACGTGGCTTTAACTGGTTATCCGATACCTGCAAAAAACCCACTGGTTCTTTAATGACCGTTATGTGTGCTACGCAAAGATCAAATCTCTATGACTTTCTTACAACGTTGATGTAATAATGGCGGTCTGGTCGGTTCATTTCATCCTCAAGTCCGAGCGCGCGAACTAAATTCAATAATTCATTGTTCTACATGATGTTTTACTGCTGCGTTATTGTTATGCCATTATACCTAAATAACGCATGATTTCTCGAACGCTGTGGAGACACCCATCAACACCGGACGCCATATACAGCGCTTGGCCTTTTCCGTATTGCATGGTTACTCGCCCGGGAAACGAGAAGCAGGTTTGGGTTGGGGTGCTGCAACACAGGAGGCATTTTTACATGAACGCTAACAATGCGCGTATATTGGGAAAGTTATGCAATAAGGAAGCGACCAGCATTTAATTTCCGTATATGTACATGTAGGTGAGCATCTTTTAAAACGGTTCAACTCACGGAGGATTGATGATAGAGGAATCGAACATATTCTTCGAGATCTGTATAAAATCATGACCTCTATGGGCATCATCGACATATGGCGTAAACCGGATGCAGTTGTTCATATCTTGCGAAATCTGCTGCATAGCTGTCTGAATGTTGGCAACCTCCATATAAGCTGTAAATATTTGGTGTAAAATTGCGTGACAGGTTTTCGAAACCTTCTTGAGTCTAGTGCTTAAGATGTACTTGATACGCTTACTGAATCCTTGACCGATGCGGTAATGAATAGCCGATGGATTCGGCCACGGCGCAACGGAAGTGCTCCATATTCCATTATATACGCTGTCTACGCTGACTGCTGCAAAAGACGGTGAACTAGCGATCTGCAGAAATACAACTATCACAAGGAAACAGTGAGCTAAAAGAGGCAGCGGCATTTTGTAAAGGTCGGGAAACATCAGTTTATGATAAAGCTGACAAAGTCGTTTGAAATTATTATTTTAGTTAAACAGCGCATTATATCGCCCAACTTACATACGTAATTTATAAATTTTTGTTTACACATTTGATAGCGCAAGCTGCCGGTTTTGCGTCATATTTGCCAAGTACGATTTTTTTGTTGACTTAAGACGTAGTTTCCGGGAGAGTTTGCTTCTTTGATCCAAGTATTGGCACTACTCAATATTCAAGTTTTGTAAAACAAACCATAGACAATGGAAGCCTATGTCACATTTTAAATAAATACTATGTCTTATAGCCAAAGTTTCCTATCGTTTGCGGTTCCTTTGTAATTCGGCGCTGATAGTACGCTCTCGTGCACCACATTGCTTTATCAGAAAACGTACAAAGACACACGGAAATCGATAACCAATAACGATGACTGCCAGAATGATCACATGATTGTCTTGCTGTTATCAGGCTACTGTTCTAGAGCATTCGAATAGCTGATTTTAAACCGGTTGCTAATAGCTTAACAAATTAAGCTTGCTGTAACACTTAGTTAATTGCTCTTCATTTCTCTCTCTTACACGGAAAAATTAAAATGTCGCCCATGTGGATCGTGTTCGCTGCGCTGGCCGTTCTGGCCATCAGCCAGGCTGATGTTACCATCAAGCTGGAGAAGTACGACAACCCGGCTGACCGACTGCAGGACGGCACCAACTGCGAGCCTTTCGGCATTAGCAAGTGTGACCCCTACTTCATTCTCACCGTGCGCAACAGCTTCAACACGTAAGCCACACACGACATCCTAAGTTGTAATACTAAAAATAGAAACAGTATGTACAATATAATTATCAGAAAAATGTATGCCGTAAAAGTATATGTATTTCGTAAAAATAAAAAGTGTACAAAAAAGCACAAAGTTTATCAGAAAAATAAAATTCTGCTAAATCAAAATCAAAACTTTTACAACATTATTCTGATATCGGTGTAATATCGGTAAATACTTGGCAGGAGCTTAGTGTCGACATACACCTCTACCCACACCGACGACGTCAGCTCGGTTGATTTCGGCTCCTTCATCGGCTTCCTGAACCCGGTTACCGCTAAGGTGCCCAACGGCACCGTGGTGGACATTACCATTGTGGCTATGGACGATGATCCCATTGGCGAACATGAACTGATTGGCACCTTCAACTATTTCTACGTTGCCGGTCAAACCCCCAAGAGGGAGAGCCGTGTCTCCGGAACCTCCACCGTTACCGTGCTTTTCAACACCACTCGATTCTAATTGAACTGCTTTTTGGTGAAAGTCTTATATTTTTGATGATTTTCCATCAGTGTATTTTTTGTCTGTAGAAAACAAAATTTACGTGCTGCTTTTCTGTAATGGTACCTCAGGACTATCGTGATGACAACAGTTATTAAAGAGGTTCGTGAGAAAACTGAAGATCTGTTTCCGGTTGACATTTAGCAGCTAAACCAGCAGATGATGGTATTAGCATAAAATGGAGCCCGTAAATAAAAATACAGTATGTAAATTTCAAACACAAAGAAATATTAGGTAGAAAATTTCTTTAGCTCATCGTGTGCATTTTGCCTACGAACTGGGATTTTGGAAAAGAAAATATTAGGTTCTCTCTGTAGCAAAAACAGAAAATATTCAACAAACACTTGGTCTGATTATAATAATCGAAGAAAAACAATGAAAACGAATCCTGTCAAATTATTCTGGGTAATAAACATGCAAGATATCACCGGCAATACCGGCATGGCACGCTAATCGGCTAGGTCGAGCCATTTGAGTTCATCTAGGCCTTTAACAATACGGGACCAAGACAATAACGCTCCTTACTGTTGCCGATAAAGCCCGCCACATTGTCTTGTACTGAGTCGGCAAACAGATAACCTATAATGGTTTTAGAGCATACAATTTACGAGCTGTGATATAACGTTCCCCTATTATTTTGCAACATAAAATTCACCAGGTCACCTTGAATTAAACACGGTATCAGCCTAACTATACAAAAGGCATCAGTATGCCACCTTATCAAGACGCATTGTCTTATGTATCACTTCAGGTTTTGGAGACGGGTGGCGTGTTTTAACCAAGACGCTTTTCCCAGCGACCGTTTCAGTCAGCCGGTGTGCATCACGCAAAAATAAATTTTTGATTTTTCGTCACAATAATACACGAAAATGTCGCGTCTGTTGGTCGCCGTGTTCCTTGCCAGTGTGGTGGCGGTGTGCAGTGCCCAGAACAGCACCACGCCCACCGTGATGTTCAAGCTGGAGCGCTACTCCAATCCCAACAACCAACTGCAGGACGGCTCCAACTGTGATCCCTTTGGATGGTCCAAATGCGATCCCTACGTGGTAGTGCACGTGCGCAACAGTGCCAATGTGTAAGGAAAATAAATATTTCTTAGCAATATGCTGTAAAGCTGCGTTCAGCCAACATGAGAGCCAAAATAAGATTAGCCGGTAAACGCGAAATGTAGACGAATTTTCTAGCAACCAAAGAGAAAGGGCTTATTGTGTCACAAAGGTCATCCCTCAATGACGGTTCCAGGCGCGATCTATCTGGCTAAGACAGAGAAAAGGTTTATTGTAATAATTGTATTAAAAGAGTTTCTGAGATTCTGCTTTGTAAGAATAATAGCAATGGTAAAAGCCGTGGCTCGTTTTCGCGTAGTAGAACCGCCGTATAATGCATATTTTCTGCTGTTTCCCAGGACCGATCTGCAGACGTTCACCTCCACCCCCACCAATGACGTCAGCTCATTGGACTTTCAAATGTTCATCGGCTTTGTCAATCCCCTGCTGATCAAGGTCCCCAAAGGCACCGTGGTCGATCTGTCGGTGACGATCTACGATGACGACGATATTGGTCAAGATGAAATTATCGGCACCTACTGGTTCCTGTATGTTGCCGGCACCGAGGCCAAGAGGGAGACCAAGACCGCTGGATCGGCTTCCCTGACGGTCATGATGGCCACCGTTGGATAAAATCACTAATTGATGCTTTTTTATCAAAAATCATGTCGATCGCTTCTTCATGGAGTGTATGGCTAGTGTACTCATTTCCTTTGACTTTTGTGTGCCTATGATTTTGAATATGTACCTTCCGGTTTCGACCTTCACACTGTGTTTCAGAACATAACAAGCAACACAATAAAAATTTAATAACAAACAAAATTTTTAACGTACGAAATAGAGGCAGAAAAAGCGCTGTTGATGATAAGACGGAATCAGCACCCAGAATTATAATAATTATTTGGTCGGCAATACCGCACATCCTTAGCAGGGTTTGCTCCAGTTGTAAACCAAATTCATTTTCGGATTAAACACAACCTGTATTACCGTAACAAACAAGCATTTCATTGTGATTTTATTCGAAAACATTGGCCATATTATCGATAGAAGTATCGCATTATACAGTATTATTACGTATTTGAGCAGATTTAATTTGTTGTCCAGAAAATACGTACGTACTTACGTAGACATAGGTACGTAGACATTATCGCAACCAAAAACTGTGAGCCGAGGTGCATTTATTTTTACCGTAACAGATGAACAGCGGATGTAAATGCAGATAGTCATATCCAATGCAGGAAATATGCGAGTAGGTACAACTAGTGCTAATGAACACAAATTGCAATAATTATGATTTATGGTAGAACAGCCAGCTACTCTAGTCTAGATATAAAGTGCTTCGTGTCTGTATTGTTACATCGTAGACATAGGTATGGTATCGGGGTCCAAGAGAAAAGTGCCTGGTACAAAATAATTAGCAAAGGATGCCGGTTCGGGCGGGTTGTATGGGTGAGATTGTGACAAAACCTTTGCCGGCTGCGTCTCAGGTTCTTCCACTGACTGTGAAGTAAATTCCGAAGACACATCATCAAGCATATTATTCACCACCATTCCTCTTTCTGAAACAATTAAGATTTACATCAACGTCACAGCCACATATTACTAAGGTTAACAATGTTTGGTTCCGTAACTTCCGTTGTTACTAACTTTGCCTAATGGGACCCATGACGACGTCGGTGAATGCCGTCCTCTCATTCCTCCCTGGCACATCGATACGAGAATTGTAGTAATTAATACCGCTCGTACCAACGGGAACCAAATCCACCTAAAGAATCAGTGAAAAAATTGAAAATTTACAGTATTTGTATGATATTTGTATCTGGAAACAGCAGAAAAAATTATTTTGTTGCAGTCGGAGACTCAGAGTAACGGTTGCGCATCTTACCGTATTTACGACACACAGAACAGCCATAACCGTGATGTGTCCTGCACCGAACATTTTTTTCGAAAAACGATTAGCAAAGCAGAGAAACTGGTTCACGTAAATCAAACCAAGTAGATCGAACGTAAGCGAAAAAGTCACCAAAAGATGCTATACGATCTACAAATTTAGCGGCAGCAAAAAGTCAAACGTACGTATGACTATGTACCGGTGATTTACATATATACAGGGCGACATCCCAATAGCAGCGTTGTCGTTGTAGTTCGGTTTGTAGTACTCGCCGAAAGAGTGCCACTTCAGATATTTGCCGATGGTAAGCAGTAACGGTGCCGTACTTCTGAAAAATTCAAGCGAAACGCTGGAAAGCTCATGATGACCCAATGATCATTTGCAGAATTTCAGAATCGAGTCGAGCCATAAGGAGAAAAGTACTATTAGGAATTAGTTCATGGAAGGAATTTTGCACTTGAGATTGCGCCTTGCGGTTTTCTGGAACCTTGTGCTGGACTCAGGCGCCCGGGGGTGTAACTTGAATTCGAAATGCATGCTGTAAAAATATTTATTGTGGTCAGCTGAAAAGAGAACCGGAAAAGTTACCGAAGCAAGAGAGTTAATTTCTATCACGTGGCTACGCATATACAATCTTACGAGTATTGATTAAAGTACGGGTACTGAACAGTCTTTTTATTGGGTTAAATTCAAATTAACATTGGTTAAACACAAAATTACTCAATTCTCATCATTTTAGCACATAGTACACATCCACTCTCTTTCCAAAACAGAACGTTTTCTGAATTAGTTTAGAACAAGTTTAGAATACAGGTTTTTGGAATGTCTTTTATTTCACTCTGATAATACCAAGTGCCAATCTGCGTTCTAACGATAAATTGTGTCTGGAAATATAGTGCCCGTGCTAACTTTTCTCATCCAACTACAGATATTTAGGTTTAATAAGCTTTTCAGTGCCTTACTGTTGTACAATATTATTATCTTCTTTTTGACCAGAATTAAAATCCCTTTGGGGTTGACTGCACTTGTGCCGTAATGATAATAACAATGTGGCACGTGGATGCAGATGAATGCAAACGCTGTTTTATGTTAGTTGAGCAATACCGGCATGATTTACATGTACACTGGTATTTTTCTTGTGTACTGGCAGCCTTTGATGTACGTACAGTACAACAATTCATTGGACGATCGCGGATCAGGTAAATATTATTAACTGTTGGAATATTACGTCAGGATCCAACCAGAAGCAGCACGAAATTTTTATAATATAACTAATACATAGTAAGCAGTGCCATAAGACGAATCATTTTATCCAGAAAATCATCCCACGAAGGAAACTGAACAAACATTTGCGTCCAGGAAAAATAAAACAATAGTAATTATAGAACAACGATCGCTGTTAAGCATTTTATGTCAGCTTTAATAGTCATACGGGGCACCATTAGAGCGGTCATTTGTGAATTTTCCGCTGCTTAAAGGGAGAATCACTATGCGCATATCTTGCAGGGTGATGAACGCATAGCATCGCTGAATAACAAACGAAATGCCACGCCGGTAATCCTTGCATAGTGTGAAGAAAGCCACCTGCGATGAAATTTAGACCCATGTATAATAATGTTCAGCCCGAAATGTAACTTAGTATCAACTCTTACCGGTCCTCCCAGGTAGCCAATATTGTACCACACTCGCAACCACAACGGCGTGGTGCTCATCATAACCACTCTAAAGAAATAGCTGGACACCACGCTAAACGGCAGGTAGCACGCCAAGAACCACAGCGACGAGATGAACAAGCTCTTGGAGATTAGAATTCGCTTATTATACGTGCGTTGTGATGTGGCACGTTTCACCAATTGGACCGGGCCTATTTTTCCATGACTTTTCACATATTTTGAAAGCAGAACGTATAACAGGATTGCCAGATAACAGAAGAATGTACCAGCTAAAGGAAAATAAAACCCCACGGATAACAGCGCGATCTGTGTCCCGGGATTCTCTTTCGGTGGGTATACCGCGCATCCGGGCCACGCGTTGGTTACATCAAACTTCCCGATGATACCCGCGGCAATCGGTATATTGATACACAACGGTAGCACCCAACTAACGCCAATGGCAGCCACAATCATCTGACGTTGTGTCCAGATGTGGTAATGCAGCGGGAAGATGATGGCGACAACCCGGTTAACAGCCAACAGGAAGGATGACCATTGGTGCACTTGAGAGACTGCCATAATGAAGAAAAAGAAATAGCTGCAGGAGAAGGAGGTTAGCTGAAAGCGAGGAAAATACATGGTGATGGACGAGGTAATGTTCAGGATGCAGAGAAACGCTTCGGCGCTTTGTAAATGGATGATGAGGATTTGAGCGCCACCACGTAGTGTTCGCGTAGCGCAGATCGACACTATCAGCAGTAAACACAGAACAGCACCGATAATGCCCACGGAGATATTGGAAATGAAGAACAGCAGAAATGCATTGGGATACAGTTCCCGTAACCGTATGGATCTGGTAATGTTGGTAAAGGTCACGGTCGTGTTGAGATCCATTTAGAAAACTGCAGCTCCGACTCACAAGATTAACCGGTAAATTCAGGTGCACCAGAATGTCGAACGATAACGACAGGAAAAGCGAAGCCAGCATGTGATGTTGAATCTGTCTGGTTATATTTGGGATTTGGGAATACTGGTTTCTGCACGTCCAGTTATTGTTTTCCCGCCTGTAAGTTGGCATTTCTTTGGGGAGTGATTTCATACCGAAAATAATGTTTAAACTGGAGCGATTATGATTAAATAATGTCATTGTCACTAAGAAGTATCCGTCAAAGAATTATGATCTTAAAATATCGGGTGAAAGGTATTCTTTAATACCCCCTTACGAGGATATGGCGGTGCATTAATGTACAATCAATGTTGTAATCCCCGAGGAACAGTTGCATTTATGGCATGCCAGTGCGTGAAATAACATGTGCGCATGCGTATTCCTGTAATATCGCTTTCTTACATGGTACTTACCCGTTTAATACCAAGAGTCTTTTGATTTTAAATGGTGATAATTAAAGCTGTAAAAAGAAAGGCTATCGTCTATACAAGAAAAGAAATTCTAATCCTAAACTGGGAAAATGGGAAACTCCCACCCAAAAGGCCAAAACGGAAGATGTAATTTTACGGGAGATTATAATACGAAACAAAGGAAGTTTTGTGCGTTACGTAAAGACCAAAGCTGTTTGAAAATTTTTAAATCACGAATGTTTGCATGAGCGGAATCCATATTTATAACACCAGTACTATGGCGAGCCGTATACCTTGAAATGCATATCTTCCTTCTAGCTATAGTTGAGTAAAAGTGCCGTGTATAGTGTAAAACTTGCTTATTAGGACCTTAAAAAGATGGACATACAACTTTGTTATGCTACTTTGTATTACTACATTAAAGACAAATGGTTCCCATCAACAGTTAAACGAAAGTAGTTTATTCATGTTGCCGCTAAGAACATTGTGTACTAAGAAACGTTTCTGTATATCTGCTGTTTGAAGCTTTTATATATTCAAAACGACAACAGTGTTTTATGCAGACAGATTTCTGACCGCTGGGTAAGATATGAAAATGATACTTGAAAAGCACCTTACAGTGATGGTAACATCTGATAAGGAATCTTGAAATTTGGAGGAATAGGTGTTTCAGATATTAGAATAACGAGAGTGCATTACAGGAACATCGTCTGGATCCGTAAAAAAAGCATCATCAGAGGGAAGCAGACAAGGCGGTCACTGCCGTAGAAATTTTTAACGATCAAAACTATTGTTTACAAGTATTTGGCCCCTTTTTCCTGAACCTTCGGCTAAAAATGCACAACAATCAAAAATTAACAGGATTAACAAAATTTCTTTTTTATCGCTGCTTACCTGTTTTGGGTTTAGGGACATAAAGATGTTGTGTGTGACTCACGACCGAGGTTGTTGGCTCCGCCTTCAGACCCGTGGCTCCGTGATTCTTCCCTTGTACTTTGACATGCGTAGCCTCGGAAGACGGTTTTTTGTGAAGACCCATTACATGTCCCGCCGGGTGGTGCGAACCGGCAGAAACCGGAACGCCCTGAAATTATTGATAAAAGTGCATTTTCTGTAATTTTTAAATAATTGATTGATAGAAAATGAGTGAAGTTAAACAAAAAAATGGTTCGCGATGCTTACCGTATATACGATGCAGAGGAGAGCAGCGACGGCCGTAATGAACAGCGAAAAGTACATTTTTATATTTGAACTGAAAGAGGAAAGAACAAAAAAAAATTTAAAAAAAATGGCTAACGTAAGACACGGTTGAAATACGGTTTACTAAAGGTATAAAGTACTCGTACTTACCACGTTATGCCGCAAAAACAAAGTATTTGTAAAAACCGAATGTATCACGAATAGGGGCTTCGAATTCGTAAAAATTCTCATCTGTTCGTGGCAATCATCTAACGCCGGTCCTTTATATACAGAGTACAGGGACAAAAGTATTCTAAAGACTGCCTTGTCGATTACTGGCCGAAAGTATCACTTGAAATATTTGCGATGCAATGCTGCGGCAGCATCTTATTTCTCCAAAACTAGCTGGAGAATGCAAAATATCTCACGTCGATTCAAGGATTCTTTGCCGAGCGCCCGAATCAGTTCGAGCCTTACGTAGAACTACGTCTAATTTCCCACATGTCAGCATACTGAAATGCGCGGAATTACTCCACTTGAAAATTGGTCTTTCGTGAGAGTGCGCGAAATTCTTGAAAACTAACTGCAGAATGCTGAAACATGCCACGTCGGCCCAAGGATTACGTGAAACACGACTGAATCGAGTCGAGCGATGAGCAGAAACTGCGTTTAATTTTGATCCTTTTAGCATATCATATTGCCAATCACTTGAAAACTAAATTTCCGGATAAGTTTTTTGCAGAAGTGAAAAATACATTTAGCCGGTAACATTCAGATAAATATTTCTTCTATATACTGTAGTTGCTAAAAGTATTGTTTATGTGTACTGGTTACGTGTTTCTGAGAACTTTTAGGCAAATCTTTTTCTGACGTAAACGAATAGCATTCCGTAACAAAGTGAATAGCGCAGCCTACAAACATTATCTAGAAGGTTGTTTTCTAGAAGAAACACTTTTTATGGAGATGCAGTGATTGTATGCAGCATGCACTAATGTACAAAACAAGCCCTAACCTAAATTATTTATTGATGAATTAACAGCATGTTTTACCCTGCTTTCGGGGCCTGTCGTGGAAAGCAAAAACATTATGCTGTACAGGAAATCTAAAACACTGAGAAAGCCTTGAAAATTTAATTTTCAAGGCATGAATTTCATCAGCGTCAAGTTTTAAATTCTGTTTGTTTCTTCCTTAGATGTGCAACGAACTTGGGTACTTTACCGTACTTACACAGAGGTACAAAAGTATTGCTTTACGCAGCGGTACATGCATTGATGCACACTTACTACTGCATATTTTTCCATGAAAGTGTTGCATACATTAATTTATTTTGTCATTTTGGCTGGTTGCCAAAGCATGGCTGCAAAGAATACAGAAATTGAATAGAATTAAAAGCGGTCGACCACGACGTTTCAAATACTCTGCACATATTAGAACAGGGCTGTCACATTACAGACAGTGCCCCAGCTAAAGGATCACAGAAGCTTTGTCGATATATGCCCCGGAATTTTATGTCGGCGGTAATACCGCGCACCTGAACCTCGCACCAGAACCTCGCACCTCCGATGCCGTCAGACTTTCAGGTAACGCTCATGGCAATAGATACTCTGTATATCGATGCACCTAGGTTTAACGCAACCGATGATAATGACGGGCTGACGGTCAAAAACCAGTTGGCGTTTTGTTTATATATATTACATACATAGTAACGCAGCGGAAAGTTTATGGCATAACCCAGTTACCAGCCATTGAAGAGGACGACCACTAATAAACTTTAGAGAGGACCCTCAAGAAACGTTGCAGGAGAAAAAGACAACTGGGCCCTAAAAAATGCATCGCGATGGGCGATACAGTATGCATTGCAGACAAGCGCTTTGGCGTTTTGTAGGCGAGTGATAAGGTTTTGGAAGCTGATCACAACTTTCAGCAGGAGGCACAAAGCAACATCGATAATGCTTACTATGTTGTTAACAACGAAGAATACAGTTGCCACAGCAGTATGGATTTGATGGTGCTGATAAAGGTCACGGTCGAATTAATGCCAGCATTTTTGCCGGTTTACATCGCAGGGAAACTCAAGTTCGCCGGCAGTTTGATATCTTGCCTGGTTACCTATACGGGCGCGTTTAGGTGTTTTTGTCTCTGTATTAACTGATTACAGTTTTCCCGACTATTAATGTAGTCTGAATTTTGTGGGAGAGACCTTACACTGAAAACCACCTTTAGACTGGATACATTCTCAGTCACTACATGAATCCGTTAAAAAATTTATTACTATAAAATATCGTGCAAAAGCACCGTTCCTAACCATTCGGAAGACATGGAGGTGCACTAATGTACTATAGTATTTACGAGGGCTTTCCCGACCGCGTCCGCTTCACCAGGGCACATTTTCCGGGTGTACTTCAACAAGCAATATTCCGCTGATTTTAATACCTGCTGTGAAATATAATTAATTTTATACTACCAGTTGTTTCAGAAATCAGAATAATAAGGATAGAAGATAGCAAATTATCGGGATCGGTGAAGAAAAATATCGTCAAAGGGAAGCAGATGAGGCGGTTAATGTGGTAGAGGCTTTCAACGGTCAGCTATCGATATCAAAAAGACCACCTCCATCCGCTACCAAAATTTGCTTGCCTGAAAGAAACACAATAATCGAACAACTGTCTAGGTGAATAAAACTTGGTTTTTTGTCGCTCCTTACGTCGGCCTGAGGTGGAGGCCTCATGGTGGGGCAGACGCCAGTGCTGCGGGCGTTTTTTGAAAGAGACTGTTTGTTCTGTGTTTTCACCTCTCGCTGCATCCTTCTTCTCTGGTGCTTTGGCATGAATAACATCGGACGATAATTTTTTGGATGATAGACGCATGACACCTTGTGCCTTGTCTAAACCAGCAGAAACTGGAACGGCCTGAAATTACAGAATATTGTCGCCATATTGATCAAGGGGCCTTTTTGTAGTTTTAGAAAATTTTTATTTGTAGAAGCTGAACTGATCTGTAAGAACGAAATAACTAGCAGATTTGCAAACCCTGCTCGTCGATAACACGACAGTACAGGACGAATATTATCACAAGCTAGTACAATGCAGCACCGGATTTTTGTCCGTAGTTATATTTTGATTTTGTGGGCATGACTATGGCCGTCGATTCTGGCAGCTGGCGAGCATCAACGCTAAAGATGCCCTTTGCTGTGGCACGTGCGAGCGCTTTATGAAGCACAAAAAAATGGAAATATCTGTATTGTGAACTTGGGAGCCGGCGTATGTGCTCTAATAAGAAATAAGAAATAATTTGCGTTTCTTACAGTATTTACGCTGCAGAGCAGAACAGCGACGAGTGCAATGCACAGCGAAAAGTCCATTTTTATCCTGTGGCTGCAGTAATGAAAACAAATGAAAGAAACAATGAAAAATAAATAATGAAAGGCATGTTGGAATGCGGGTCTCCAAAAGAAATACAGTACTTACCACGTTTTGCCGAAAATACAAGTATTTGTACAAGGCGAGTAAGTATGTGCTTGTAGAGTGTAGTCAACAGGAGCTTCCAGTTGGTAATAATTCCGCTTCTTATGTTAGTAGTAATCAATAATCATCTAGCGCCTGTGTTTTATATACAGGCGGAAAGTATTCTAAAAGCAGCCATGCCGACGCACTTTTCAGTTATCTGCCGAAAGTAATACATGAAATATTTGGATGCAATGCTGCGACAGCACCGTATTTCTCGAAACCTGACTGGAGAAGCAAAATATCTCACGTCGATTCAAGTATTCTTTGCCGAGCGCCCGAATCGAATCGAGCCCTACGTAGAACTGCGTTCATTTTTGCTCTTGTCAGCATACTTCATGCTGTAATGGAAATTCTCCACAGAACTAGGAAATCAGAAAAATTAATACGTTTTTCCGGCAACATGCAGATAAAACGTTTCATACTACTCTACTAGGTAATCGATGAATTTTTCTTTATTAAATGTACGATACGTGTTTCTTGGCAAACTTTTTAGTAGCTGCAAGAAACGAGCCAGCAAAATTAATAACCTCTAACAAACTACATGACGCATTCCTTATCAATATTTTAACAAATAGGTGGAATATGGAACCGGAACATTTTGTGGAAATGGAGTGATTCTGTTATTATTTACAATTACTAAAAACATTCATTATACATGCAAATTAACAGTGTTGTTAAACAACGAAATCCTTTACTTTAAGTTGCCCCCGTTTTATGTTATGTTTTTGGGGCGCTTGATTTTACTGCATGTTTTTCCCTGTAGTCGGATGTTGAGGAAGAAAAGCGTTGACAACTGCTGTTGCTGTTATGATGCTGTTTTTGCATGGCAAATATGCTGGAGTAAAGAAAGCCTGGGACGCCCTTAGAGTTAAAAAATGCACGAAGAATGTGAATCTTGTCAAAAATACTTTCTTAAAGCCGTTATTCAAATTTATTTGCAATAAAGCAATAAATTAGAGAAAAATAACCTGTTTTGATAATAAAGCCAAAGATTACCAACAGCAACATTGACAAAAGTTAAAAAACTACTCTCCAAATAGATTTTGTCGCAGAACAGTATATGACAGCATTATGAGTATATTTCCGATATTCGCAAAAAATCAGAAAGAATTTGAAAGCCTGAACTTTCAGATTGTACTGTACGTTAGATTGCCCTACGGAACTAACTGATCCATTTTGGTTTGCTCAAGAAAAAGCCTTAATTCACTGGTGCCGCCCGGTTAGGGCGCCATATTTTTCAGATTGACACTGAAGGGTGGCGGTAAAACGAAATTTATGCTGAGCGCAACGGAAAAAAGCAGATTTGTCAGTCACGCTTACTTAAAGCGTTTTCCTAGAAGACGAGTCAAGTAAAACAGTAAGCAGTACAGTTTTACCGAATGTATGTACAGAGTATATATACAGACTGTATATATATATATATTCTGTAGCTTTGCTTACAATAATTACATTGACGTACTAAAAACCAGGTACTAACTGTCAAGTCCACTTCAAATTCAGGGGCATACAATCATATGTATATTTTTTGCAATGGTCATGTCATAGTCTATTGGTACGCAAACCGACAAAAGTGTTTCAAGCGCATCATGGATAGTTTTCAAAGAAATTAAATTTTGGGCTGACACAACAGCTCGCTTTCGCAAAATAATTCTACATAACAAATTGTTCCCAAAAAATTTCCGTGGGCATAAATCATTCAACAGTAATATCTGCATGATTTTCCGAAACAATAAGCTTAGACGGACAACTGTGTAACTCTTTCCGTGCGCGTTGTTTTGGGTAAGCATTCAGTACGTACGAAATTACGAACTATTGTTTGATCGTGCATAGCACTGCTTGTTTAGTACCAAGTAATATCAATAATCTAGCGGTGGCTTCCCATTTGTGCCACCGGTTCCACTTCGTGTCGAGTGGCTTTGACGTCTGGTGCATAACATCCGGTGTATCGCTATTCTGTAATCCCGATTCATCGCGAAACAAATGGGCTGGAGAAAACAAATAGTTTTGTTATGAACATAAAATCATATGATACCAACACTAAATGTATGCTATGTATACGGCCTAAAAAATGAACGCACTTCATTAGATTATCTAATAAAATCAACAAAATCTAACATTTAAAACAAAGTACGTATAATGGTGAGATAGCGAGACAACGACATACAGTCAAAAGTTAATGTGTGATTTATAAAGTTAGTACCGGATTCGTTGCGAATCCCAACAACTGCACGACCGCCAACCACATCACTAGTAGCGGATACATGGCATCATTCTCGCTAATCTTCGATATGGCCACCGTTATAGGCATAATCATGGAGCAGCCAATATTACAGAGATACGACACACACATCATATTCGTAATGTACATGCGCTTCCTTTCGGGTTTGGAATGCTTCGCATCCGACACTTTACTCCGCATGCAAGTGTTCCTCCAACACTGCAGATAAATAATGAAGTACGCGATACCGGTAACAGCCGCCGGTATGTAAAATCCAGCCGCAAAGACCACTATTCCCAACCGGCTATTCGGAAGCGCCGCGCAAGTTCCCAGTGAAATGGTTGTATAAGTTATTCCCAGTTCGAAACAACCGGATAGCGCCAGAATACCCGCAGCCACCCAACACAGGGTTAAAACAACTTTCTCGGTGAGTTTTCTGGAAAAACGTTGGTGATAGTTATACGGGAAGAAAAACGCCAGAAACCTGTTAACAGCGATATATGCATCGGTCCATGATGCGACGCACCGCGCGGTCATCTGCAGCCACTGACCAATCTTACAGTGGCTCTGTTTAATCTCCCAGTGGTTAAGCTGCTTCTCGTATACACAGATGGCGTCGAGAGGGAAACTGATTGAGCAAAGTATCGTGTATGCAATCAGGCAGTGCGCAATTAGAATTCCGCATCCAGAACGCAGTTTGGCGGTGAAAAAAATTAAAAGCACGATGGATATATTCCCAACGGCTCCTTCGAAGCACAGCACAAGATAAACGGCAGTCCATAATTTCACAGAGTTCGCACTAGCTGAAGCAGAGTTATTCCTATTGCCGGTAGTTGAATAATTCAGTAAATGCAACGACGCATTGGAAGTCCAAGGGGTTTCCATATTTTAACGATGGAAAAGCGAATAAGAACCCCTTTTTCGGGCTATGATTCTCTGATGTTCTTATGAAAGTTGAGCAAACTGTTGATGCCGCAACTGCAAGCACATATTAAAAAGGTAGTGACTGTGCCACTGAAAAGACTTGGTAGCCCAAAAACTCCGGATGAAGTAACCGCATTATGCATTTCAGTGCATATGTAAGGTGACAAAAGCGGTGCGTTGTACAGATCATACCGAGAACTGGAACTTCCGCTTGGAGCAGACTATTGTATGCACTGAAAAAGCAGATCTAATTAACGGGCACATGGCGCTGCAGTTGAGCACGAAAACACCATCAGTGAGGTAAATTACCGAGCGCGGTACATAAAGTACGTAACACTTCTTAAGCCTGTGGCACAGCGTGAGCGCTCCGGCCTACAACGCTCCCTTAATTGTTACGCACACGCACAGTCAAACTCTTCAACTTTCACCCGATTAAGCGGAAAATGCGTAAGTACAGAACGAAGGGGTTCGCCCACAAGTAATAATTCCAGAAACATACAGACACCGTACGCCGTCACATTTGATCGAATTTGCCATGATTCCAAGCGCTTTCGTGCACAACACAAACATATTAATATTTTCGCAGTGTTACCGCACACTCGCACCTGCAACGTTTACTAGCAGATACAAAGAACTTTCTACGCCGTTAGCTGTTATTCCATGCAAAAATCAATGCATCCAGAAAGCTGCTCAGATGTTATTGTCGTGACAATACAATGCACATTTGCCCTCATACAGCGCACGAATAGGGCAACCGTCGCGCCACCAGAAACCATTAAGCCGATAGTGTCGCCTATTATTGAAGTAACGATTATCGACCATTTTTTCCCAGAATCTCGGGTGAATGTTTGTGCTGACCCTGGCGAGGTTTTGGACGAGAGCGCTGTTCCACTGCATTTATTTGAAATAACATTAATGGCTGCTTTCAATAAACCGCACTTCTTTACGGTAATTCCAACGACGACCTGATAATTATTGACAGTTGTGTTTTGCACTGAGCAGGTCTTTAGGCGTTGTACGGGTTTGTTGTTGTTAGGAAATGAGGATGCAAGCAAAGATTATGGGATCACGATGCCGATGTAGAAGATTTCAGCGAAAAGGCATGAGGCGTTAATAGCACTGGCAGGCCGGCTTACAGCGGCATCCAGGTTTTACTACGCGTATTTCCGCTAATGCTAGTCGGGCGTCGTAACTCGTGCTTTCTCTTAATTTGATAGGCTTAATTAGCTTTAGCTTGGTTCATCTTAAAGTACAAGGAGTGGTTAATCGAAGACTCACGCGCTGTGCGCAACACTGTTTTCATTTGTATAACACTTACTGTACCAAGATCCAGTAAATTACTGGATCTTGGTACTGTACCCGCGCGAGTTTAAGGGACAGTAAATCCCCCTGGACCGCCCGCACTAGGCGCCGGTTTCTTTGATGTCAAAGAAGCCGACGCCTAGTGCGGGCGGTCTGGGGCAATTTTCTGTCCCTTAAACTCGCGCGGGTACAGTACAATAATTGTTATACATAGATTTTATAAATGTACGTGGAATTACGAAGTGCGATAGAGGTTGTTACTGCCTCCGAAACTACATGCATTCTTTTCATTCTGATGACGTCATGGACGTAGGGTATCAAACTAGCGCCTCAAACTTTGAGGCATACATTTTTAAGTGCAGCTTGTAAAACCAGACAAGCAAGTTTTAATGACCTTTTTATTACTGGCCCAATCGGTCTCTGAACTGATCCTGTTGCTATAATGAACAATATCAGGATTTATGCCTAATTAGCGTTATCTAAATGGAGCTAGGTGGTCCATTAAAGATTATTTGACTTCGTGCATGTATTGCGCAGCAATATACAGTTATTAATGAACGTGTTTATCGGAGAACATGCTACTTTGCGCTACCTGTGTAGCCGATAGCGCACCAAAAGTAAATAAACCCCATTCATGCTTATCTCATACGCACACAGTATTACAGAAATCAGCAATCTGGATTGCTTCAATATTAATGTTTCTTCGTTGTTACTTTCTAGAATTCTGTTTGCCTACTACATTAACAGTAATAATTAGCTTCCAAAGTATTAATAAATCGTAATAAAAACTGTAATAAATATGTCGCCTCCGTCGGATTCCCACCTTGCCCAACCACCGCGCAGCAAGAGCACACTGGTGTTCAGCGTTATACAGATATTATGCGGTATCGCATTACTTATTAGCGACATTTTCTGTAAGTGCATGCAGTATTAAATTATTTTGCCTATGATGTACATGTACATGCCTATGATGTTTTTCTCGTTAATAAAATATTTATTACCTGTTTTGTATGCATAGAAGTATAATTACTTTCAATTTATAGAGTAAGAAATCTGCAAGAGACATAGTTGTGTTGCAGCTTTTGTCGAATATCATGCGTTCGAAGCGGTGATGCGTACCGGTGGAGCGTCGGGAATTTGGATTGGGATCTTCTTCGTCATTACCGGCGGATGTGGGATAGTCGCCTACGAAGCAGCAGGAGAAACGCAGCTGTCCATCGCCTCGCTTCGACGCCATCTCCAAATCAGCCTGATCCTCAGTATTCTGGCTACCATCGCCGCTTTCTCCTTCCTGATTTATTTCGGCTCACTGATCGGCAGCGGTACTTATGTAAACGTTCATAATGTTATCAACCAAAACGGTTATAGCATTGTGCAAGACTATCACAGTTATCTTGGTTACGGTGACGGTCCGGTTCCCGCAAACCTCTGTTTCCACTTGTTGATGTTTCTCTTCAGCCTGATCCAAGCGGTGTTCACCGGATTGCGATTGCGTAAACTGCCGCACACCATTGCCACCACCACGGTGTCGCATGTGATGGTGCCGGTACAACATGAACCGGCTGTACTGCCGAATTATCCGCCAGCAGCGGGATATTACGGGCATCCGATGTATCCTAACAATACTTCTGCACCGGGACATCAAGGCCAGGCTGTGCAGTTTCAACCGTTACAAACTCATCCAGGACCTAGCTACCTCACGCACTGAAACCATTTCAGAAAATCTTTAATGCTGCACAGATTACAGTATGCTAAAAGCAACAACCAAATATCTTGATGGATGTTTCTGTACGTAGTACATAATAGTCGGAAAACTTTCGTAAACGAACTGCCATTTTTGTTGCGCGTGCCACTACAACAATCGTTCTGATATTGATATTTGAAAGTTTATATGTTAATTACCACGCATCTAACATGAAAAACGTAAATATTTATGATAAATATTGTGCCGACTGACGACCATAATTGTTAGTGGTGAGACTTTGCTGTTCATTCTAAATATAGAAGTACGTACAATTAATCTATAATTTGGTACTTACAAATACGCTGTCCCGAAGTCTTGGCAAACAACATGCTTGACAAGAACGCATACTCTATTCGCGTAATATATTTAGTTTCTATTTTATGCTGTGCAAGAACTTCAGTTTCGTCGCATTTGAAAGACAATACCAGCTGATGCTTGTCAGCACCCAAAATGTTTTTTCGTAATGTACCGATTTTCACTGTACTATTTGCACTTCATACGCATGATAACTAGCAGTACTAGTTAATTCGTTAAATGTGCGAATACAGAAACAATCTAACAAATACAAAAGGGACATTACCTTATAAATTTAACAGTACTAGTTACACTAACGTACTTCTGTTGTAACTAACAGAGGTACGCAAAGTATTCTAAAAAGGAGTCGTACAAACGTTTTTGTTTGGACCAATGCGAGAAAATTTGTATGGTGAGGGTTTATTTTGCGGAAGTTTCATTTTTCTTTGTTTCTTTATGTTGCCTTGCACATGTAGCCGCGCGCTAGAGGGGCTGAGTTCTTGTGCAGAAGCGTGCACACAACGGAAGCATTGAACGCGTTGCAGCATTCCATAAAAAGCGAAAAATATTGAAGAAGTACTCGTACAAACTCGTAGTTGCATCAAATTTCAAGCACCCGTAACAGTCGGTCGACTATCACCGGCTTTCGCGTTATCGGCATGGTCACACGACGCTTTCCTCTCAGCCACTGCTCTGTACGTACATGCAGGTTTCGCGTATTTGCCGGTACAGTTTTCTCAGTGTGCAAAACTGCAAAAGCACGTTTCAACATGCCGGATCATGTTTCTTCACACTGCATAATCGGTAAATTTTTCACTCAAAGAATTGTATAAAATTCTAGGCAAAACCCCAGAAAATTGCAATAGTTTCGTCCGAGTTTGATTTTTGATTTAGACATCAATAGAACGGCTATTTAGCACCTCACTCAAGTTGTTTAAAATACTGCTTTATTACCGGACTACTTATACAGTCGCCAGAGGGACATTGTTAACAGCCTGTTTAACTGAAAATGCCACCCGCTGGAAAACGAGCGAAATTCGACAATGCCACGGTGTCCCGCATCCTGGCCAGCCTGCCAGAAGATAGTTCTGATCCTGATAATCAGTATGTTCTCGGATTGATAACCGATCGCCAGCGACAATGCATGCAGGCCGCTAGACGGGCTAGAAAACAGCGATCTAAGAAGCCCGAGGATGATCTCGTTTCACCGGTGGCACCAGTCGATGAAGTGGAAATACCGGTATACGACATAAATCCCAGTGATCTGCAAGTGTTTACTCCAGGATTTCTCAACTGTTCTGAAAGGGACATTGACCGATGGTAAATGAAATGAAGACGATAACTCCTCTTCGGGAAATGTGTTATCCGTGCTAACTCTAACATTGTGCTGACTGAATTTGCCAGGGTACGGACTAATTTTATTCAGGTGGAGGAAAAAGAGCTGTACACCAATTATGTTCTTCTCTTTTTCAGAAGGTCAGTCTGCAACCACGACACACTGTTACGTGTTTTTAATAGATCAGAGTCATAACACTAAATGGGCTACCGATCACTTCGGCCGTTTTCATTTCGGCCGCGCTCATTTCGGCCAAAGTTTTTCGGCCGCCACTCACTTCGGCCGCCACTCACTTCGGCCGCCATTCACTTCGGCCACAGAACATTTCAGCGGAAATTGGGTTTTCCAAAACTTTTAATATGCACCGTGTAACTACAGAGTGGCTAAGTCCTTACGCGCAAAAAGTTGATCAGATTCTATTTAATTTTGCACACACAATTTGCTTGAGCAGTTTTTGAAGTGTTACAGTCACCATAATGTCTCATATTCCCGATTGTTCTGATTAACATCTTAACCTAAAAATACCTATGAAAACATAAGAAAATCGAAAAAAAGAAAAGAAACCATAAGAAAGCTAAGAAATCCTAAGAAAACTAAAGTAACCTAAGAAGCCTAAAAAACCCATAACAAATCTAAGAAAACACAGAAAGCCTAAGAAACCTAAGAAAACTGAACAAACATAAGAAAACCTAAGAAAGCTAAGAAAACCTACAAAACCTAAAAACATCTAAGAAAACCTAACAAACCTTAAAACCCTAAGAAAACATAAAAAACCAAAGAAAACCTAGAAAATGTAGGAAACCCAAGAAAAGCTAAGATGGCCGAAACGTCCAGTTGCCGAAATGAGCATTGGCCGAATTGAGTGTTGGCCGAAGTGAGCCACGGCCGAAATGAACGTTGGCCGAAGTGAACCTGTGCGGCCGAAATGTAACGCGGCCGAAGTGATCGGACGCGCACTAAATGGCTATATAGAATATGATTGCAGATAGATATGATAATTATGTGGAACAGATATATTAATGATCTTATAGAGCAGCAGCAGACTATATAAACCGATATAATTATGGTCGGTAATATCAGATTTTGTTGCCATGTTCTTGGCTGGTCAATAAGTAAAATGGTAAAATACAGACGTACAAGCGTATAATATTTAATTAATTATTGTTTTAAGGTATGCCGAAAGTCAAAAATGGATTCAAAAGCCGCGTCAAAGTGCTTCTGTCAAGAGGTATCTCGATATTGTCTTAGACTCCAAATGTCGACGCGACAAGAACGATGGGAACCGGGACTACCAAAGCTGCCTCGCTCTTTCACCGGACGGAAAATCAAACTTTGTTCAGTTTACCAGACTTCCTCTGTCAAAGATTATCAAAAGTTAATTCGAATTATAACTAATAATGTATAATGAACATTTTCACTGTAATAATTATTTTAAAATCTTTAAACGAAGTATAAAGTGCATTGAAATGCAGCAGTCAACGTATTTTTTCGAGCAGCCACTTTAATTTCTACATTTCTACTGTTCGAAAGGCGATTAAATACACAAATAAATGGCATGCTATTCTGATAATCATACGATATTACCACCCCTACTGATTACCACACCGCAGCTCACTAGCAGTTTGAAATATGACTATCAATTTTGGTACAGCTGAAGAGCCCCATCAGTTTGGTGATACCTGAAAATATTTACTGACATCTATGTGCATTTGCTTAACAGTTTCCAAACATTTACTTTGAAGGTTATCATGTCCACGTAATACTGGCGATATGCAAACACATGTTAAACCTATACAGTATGGAAAATGGAAAACGGTGAGCGCTATACCGTCACCACATTCCCGTAGTCCCATTTTGTTGTGCCAGCTGCATTACGCTAGTCCCTTCCTACAGCAGACTGTGCCAATTCGTAATCGATAATGCCACGAAAATGCGTCTAGTCAGCTTACTGCTAACAAATTGTTTCACGGTCACTCAAAGTACTATGACATAATCGTGCAAACTGCTTTACCGCTTCCGTAAGGATCTCCAGCTTGCATCTGTTTAAATTGAGTAGTAACGAAAAACTAGCAAAAACACGTAAATATGACCATTATCACGTTTCTCGATATACCTTTGGAAAGGATGTTGAAACCATGGATAAAATTGCTACGTTTTGCCGGTTTTGGAAACTTTGCGGCCCATCATTGCTACGCAAAATCAAAAATTTGCAGTGCATTGCACAGAACTCTCCTACGTATATGGAGTGTCTGGTTAGTGGCCAATGCCCTGATGATCGCTGCATTCTTTTTTCACAAAACTTTGGGACGCGCGACGAATTCCACGGAAGATGTTTTATCGGTTGCAGCTGCAACGCAAAGTCAGCTGGCACTGATTTACAGCACAATTTATACGGCCATCGTTTTTAATAGTATCACATCGTTCTTAGATCGACTGATCGTCCTCAGCCAGCCATTTTTAACGTACACCAACAGACGAATTGTCCTGCTTATGGTTGTCGCTTTAAGCTTCTACAATGTGGTCATGATAGTGTTGTACGGTGTGCAGCCCTTTTTGCGATTTCCGACCACCGAATTCAACGTTTATCGAGACATCTATTGCAGCTTCGTTGAATGCCAAAAAAACTCGAAAGCGTTTTACATAATTGACGCGCTGTCCGCCTTTTCTACGTTATGCAAACTTTTGATGATTTATGCTGAAAAGGTCATGCATTCTTTCACCATAACCCTAAGTTTGATTTTAGGATTGACCTTTCAGCGCCTTGTGACGAAAATCCGCTGCTGTTACGATAGACGAGAAAAGTCATTTATAGCGTCTGTCGGTAATCTTATGCTTAAGCACGTCGAACTGGAGAAACACCTTTTGGGTCTTGACGATATCCTGTCGTTTGTGACCATGATGCGCTACGGTTCAGATGTGCTGGGACTGTTGTCGTATAAGCGACAGGAGGCAGAACCATCCAGTATGTTCTTCGCATATCTGTATTTGGTCCAGATTATTGTGGACGTGACGTCAAGAACGCTGGTATTTATTTACACTAACGAAAGGGTAAGGTATCTGTACATTCGTATCATGAGTCGTATGTGTCAAAATCATGCATGCACTGAAATGCAGTACGACAATTTTATCAACGAGTGATTGTAGTATTGTGGCACAAGTCACAAACCACCAACGCAGCTCAACGCGGCTGCTCAGTGCGCGCAAACGATTGATAATGAATGCGTTACCGGTTTAATTGGAACCGACAATAGTTTTTTTCGCTTTCCTTCTTCTGGAATTAATAGATGTGATTACGGGAAGTCTCTCAAATACCCGTATTACTGTACACCCGTATTATTACAGTATGCGTCGATATTTCGTAAGCCTGATTTTTAGGCGAAAGCAGCTGTTCCGATCTTGGAAGATGTTTTGATTATGGACAACGAAATGAGTCTCACTCAACGCAACCGGTTCTTGATCCACATTAACCGGCTGAAAACCAACAACATCGGCATGTCATTGGCAAAAATTGTTGTCGTGGATCGCACTTTCATTGCTACGGTAAGCGGATGTCTGAATCCACGTTACGTTTTGCCGACGATTTGTCGTTCAGACTAAGTTATCGATGTACGTACCTGATTTCAAAAATTAATGGTTTTTTAGCTTATTGGTGGTATCTTGACGTACCTTTTGCTCATGTGGCAGCTGGACGATGGTGATTTCAACAACAAAAAGCAGCTTCAGCTGGATATTCTGCTGCAGTCAACTTTGAGGGCTTATTTAAATCACAATAACTACACTGTTACGGGAATAGTGTAATATACTGTGACAATTCGATTGCCACGGGTAACGGGAATATTGTTTTTTTTGTTCTGTTGCCCTGTTATTAGCATTTGTTAACTTCCGATACATATGCATTACTGTTGTATTTTCTGCTTTTTTTATACGGTGTTACCGTTATGGTCGATGAAGATATAATTGGAATTGAACACGAATACCGTCAAATTGACAAGAAAAAATGGCCACTCATAAAACTAAATATTTAAATTTTACAGCATCTATTTCAATATTGACCGCATGCAATGTAGCTTAAAATACTGTTGCTGGTTATATAATTATCACTTATTATTATTCAGAATAATATTATTATGTGGCAACAAGTAAGTATCAATGGAAAACTGGATACTGGATTGGACGTTTAAGGTAGAGTATGCATTTCTGACAAACAACAGATAAGTGATATTAGAGTATTTATATGTGCAAAGTTTTTCTCATATTGATATATATTTGGAAAATTCAATTTTGATTTATGAATCTTAATTGAGGAGATGTGCCATATTGTAGAAAAAAACTTGAATAATTGCCTATAGTCGGAGAATCGTGTTTTTACGGTTGATGTAATAAAGTGAACAAACCCATCCGGTCGGCACTCATAGCTCAAAATCATCATAATTTAATTTTAACTGATCAAGTACAAAAAACACTGTCGCATGATTATGCAAAACCGCCACTCAAGAGTCATGTCAGAAAAATGGAAAGCAATGTCAATAAAGCTCAATAGCCAGTATGTACAGTGTCCACTGAACAAACACAGTCTGTATAGCCATACTACACGACGGTGTCACGATCACTCAATTCGATAAATTATCATTTCCACCACCGCCCACCGCGGCTGTACTGCAGCTCAGTAGCTCTTCAAGAGACCGGCCAGTTTGCGGTAGCTGACATAGGGCACCGGGGAATAACCGTACGGCTGCGGCTCATAGGGGTTAGCGTTGTAGCTCTTCAAGTAGCTGGCATAACTGGCCACCGTGGGATATTTGTCGTGTTTGTAGTGGTAGGGTTTGTTGTGCTCATAGGCGGCGGGATACTCCGCAGCATACGTATTGTAAGGAAACAGCGGCAGGATGTAGGATTTCTCCGGCTGGTACTCGGGTTTGTACAGGTCCTTCTCGTAGTCGGCCGGCTTGTAGATGGGCTTGGTGACGTACTCCTTGTACATGGGCTTCTCCATGTGGTAGGATGGTTTCTCTAAAGGCACTGGATAGGCGACGGGCTGCGGGGCGACGTACGCGGGTTTCTCCATCGGGTATGCGGTCTTTTCAGGATAGGCGTTGTACGCTGGCTTCTCGACGTAGACGTTGTACTGGGGTTTCTCCACTGGGTATGCGGGTTTTTCGTAAGCGGGCTTCTCGTACGCGGGCTTATCGTAGATAGGCTTTTCGTATACGGGCTTGTCATACACAGGACGTTCGTACGCTGGTTTATCGTAGATGGGCTTTTCGTATACCGGCTTATCATACATGGGCTTTTCGTACATGGGTTTGTCGTAGCTTGGCTTATCGTAGACAGGCTTCTCATAGGCTGGCTTGTCATAGACTGGCTTGTCATAGATCGGCTTTTCATAGGCTGGCTTGTCATACACAGGCTTTTCATACACCGGCTTCTCTACGGGATAGATGACCTTTTCATACACTGGCTTTTCGGCGGGATAAACTGGCTTGTCATACGCCGGCTTATCTGCAGAATACACAATCTTATCAACAATAATTGTGTAGCCAGGAATATGATGCGGCGGATACGCACTGTAGGCAGGCTTTTCGTAATGAACTGGGTACGCCGGCTTCTCCATGGGAAGAGGATAAGGGGCAACATATCCTGGCTTCTCATAGACGGGCTTTTCAGCCGGGTAGACGTTGTACACGGGCTTCTCCATGGGATAGACTGGTTTGTCGTGGTAGACGGGCTTTTCCATGGGATACACCGGCTTCTCGTGGTACATCGGCTTTTCGGCGGGATAGACAGCGGGCTTCTCGTACGCTGGTTTTTCTACGGGATACACCGGCTTGTCCAGCGGGTAGACGGCGGGCTTCTCGTACATGATGCGCTCAGCCGGGTAGTGCGCTTTCGGGGCGGGATAGGCCGGGTAGTCGTAGACCTTCTCAGCGTACGCTTTGTACGGCATCTTCTCGTGGACGGAGTAGACGGTGGGCGTCTTGGGGTAGACCTCATCGTACACCGGCATTTTGTGGTGTTTGTGCGGCGCGTATTCCGGAACGTACTTGGAGGGCGTGTAGCCTTTGGCGTAGGCCGGGATGATTGGAGTGTATGAGAGAGGATTGTAGGCCGGCTTCACCGGGTAGAGATTCATGAAGTTGGGAACGTAGGATTTGTCGACGGGGTAGGCGTTGTTGTAGCTCTGCGGCGGGTAGTCTTCGTCTTTGTAGATGGGATCGCAGTTATAGTCAACCTGCACAGTGAATTAACGTTCCGTAAAGTTTTATATGAAGCTATATTATTAGATTAAGTAACCTTTTGCAACTCATGAAATACATCGAGTAATGAAGTTACAAAAGCCACAAAATTAAAAAATTATAACATTCAGAAAAGTTCTTACTGTAGGCGGCTATAACCAGGAAGCCAATGTTTTAAGAAAACAAATTTGTAAAATTACTGTGTAGTGAAAAATTTAAAGTATTCGTTTAATTGTACGCAATAAAAAAATAACTTAAAAAAAATAAAAAAATTGTGGTGAAAATTAATAGATCATGAAATAGGCATATTATGCAATCATACCTTGTGCGGCCAATCACAGACGAGGAGGTAATTGTTGAATTTGGTGAAGGGCGGGCAGTCGAATGTCTCCAGACGACCGTCTTCTTGGCAAATATGGAAGATTTTGCATCCGTGTGCGGGATTGCCATAGTAGCCGTGGGCGTGACCATGGCACGTTGCTGTGGGATAAGGCGAAGAGTACGACCGGCTGTCATAGTTGGGAGCATATGCGGCGCGTCCGTAACTCAAGGCAGTTTCCGCAACACCGGACTCAACAATCCTAATAAGTACAATTCACAAATAAAATACCCGGATTTAGAGGGATATTTGGAGGATAATAAACGGGGAATTCAAATTCCATACTTGCTAGCTTCCAGGTTGAGGGGAGATCCATGCTCGGTGGAGTTGCCCTTATCGGCGGGGATAGGTTGAGCAATTAGTCCCGTTACGGTCAGACACAGTACGACCGCTGTGGTCGCTCGCATGATGCCGGTTGTGAGAAAAAAAAAGACCGAGCGAAAAATCCGCCGACTGAACTACACAACGCGCACGCTACAACAGCTAACTGCTTTTTTTGCGCACCGACTGGAGAAAGCTCACGGAAATGACTTGAAGGGGAAATGCAGATGATGATACTCCTCGGCATCCGCTCTCAGGCCATTATATACACACCGGCATAAGGGCTAATTAACATTGACAGCAAGGGAAAATATCTGTCTCGCACCTATTTTTCTTATCTCGGTAAATATGTAACACACCGCCACTTGTTTGATACTTGAACGTCGACTTGTACGCCGTAGCTATGTCGGTTACATAGTGAGACGCATCCATCATAGCCCGCCGACGTGATTGTACTGTATTGGTTGTCATTCTGTACCATCTCCGCATTTAACTTCGCTCTGATGAATTTGTCAGAGACCACTTCGCAATTAAAAAATTCAACCCGGGTCGAAGAGATGAAACGGCTAAATAAATTACTACGCTCTACAAAACTAAATTTTGCTCGTAAACTTAACATTGTGCTCACTAATTTATGCATTAAAGCTCAGTAAATTGGTAGCAGAAAACGCAATATTTAAAAGAACCTAATTCTGAACTGCGTTAATCTGAGCGCATCAATTTTTTTATTAACCGGTAGAGATTACCGGTTTTTGTCTTGGACTGTTTTCTCCATCCTTGTATTATCAATCCAGATTTCAGTTTTTGCACGTTTATTTAGACAAATGTCTCAGTTAATAAATGTAATATTAAAAACGATAATAATTCTGAATTGCGCCTTAAAGCGCATTACATCATTTTATTTTGAGATTACCGCCTGCGTGCTTCTGCTGTTTTTTGTCAGTCCAGAATATAATTTTTGCATATTAATTGGGACCTAAGGATTTGAATATAATTTTTGCAGAACTAATTCTTAATGAACCTGCCGTTTTTTATTTTCGTGCAGTAATAGCTTCGCAGCAAGCGGCAGGTTTATTATTAATAAAGCAATGTCGCAATCATCTGTAATATTGTTAATAGAGCATTGCCATGTTCTTTTGTGAATTTACGTTGTAACATATTTTATTTGCTGACTTTGTTCTATATGGCGCCTGTATTATCTCTCGATATTATAATTAGGGAAGTGTTCCGCAATTTGCTTAAATATTATTAATGTTGCGACGACAACTAACAAAACAGAAGCACAGAAATCCGCCGAATTTCGCAGTAGCACGCAATTGTGGATGGTGGGAAAAACTGGCAACGCAACGGACGTGTGCGCTTTGATTGAGTAGCGCTAGAAATGGGCGTCGAGTTGGCAGGTGCTCTAACCCGGAACCTGGCGGGTACGCGCACATACATGCGGGGCTGCCCACGCGTCGTCCGACGATGTAACCATGTAGCCGCTTATTATAATAATCAGACTGATGTAACTCTCTTAATTTCCGCCGGCATGCTTTACGGTGCCCGACATATGACTCTGTTGACTTTGACCATTAACATTTTAGTACTGTCACGAAGTTCGTTGGTCAAGCGCGCGCCGGCCACGACGGCCAAGCTACCGTTATGCTGTTAGTCATGGTCGTTTGATTGCCGCTCACGCCAAGTGGGTCAGATGCGGCTATAAGAACCGGAATCAAACGTTTATCAAATCCTCACAAGTGGCCCGATCAAATAACTCTATAAACTAGCTGATTACAATGTTCATCTATTTTTTTGAGGAAGTGTTTTCAGCAGCACATGTATTTTATGCAATGACAACGCAATATTAATTCAATGACAACGTAGTATCTCATGTTATTTAGCGCATGTTAATAAATGTTCCGTAATTATACGTTGTAGATTAATACTCTACAATACTGTAGTTTTTTTCGAAGCAGTGCGTTATTTGGTTTAACTTACCACCGCTGCTCACTGCTTTTCTTTTGCTTATACCACCACTATGAATTATTGTATCACTACTCCATGGTTGGTGGTTTAAGAACGCCGATATCTTTGCAGCTTCATCAAACAGAAATATTATTATTATTATTTCGCCTGCATCGCACTAAAAGCATTACTCTAGAATCCAACACAACAGGTCATGGCATAAAATTATTTTTTTATTTCGTAATAACCGGTAGCATTCGTCATATTGCAATATGTGGCTTATATTTAGCAAGCCTAGGCAGCTCAATACGTCATAATATATTTTTCTGCGCAAAATGCAACAATAAAGTATAACAAAGCATGCAGGACATAAATTACATAAAATTACAACCGCTTAAGCGTCATCATTTATTTACAGCGCATAAAATTTAAAAATATTTCTTTGCATAACCCGGCTTTTCATAGCCCTTGTATCCTTCATAGGCTTTAGGATAGGATGCCGGCTTTTCGTAGGAGCGTGCTTCCGGATAGTAGGGCTTCTCTTCTTTATAAATGGGATTACAATACGAATCAACCTAAGCAAATACAGATTAGCCACATTAACACAGTGTTGCTGTTTGGTGGTCAACGCCAATCCGTTGTTTACTTTGTACGGCCAGTCGCACACCGCCAAGTAGTTGTTGAATTTCAAATACGCCGGGCAATCCATATAATCCAAGCGCCTAACAGACAAAAAATGACACTACAGGGTAACTCCAATAAATACTGGAAACAGAAATAATTATTCTGTAAAGCCCATGTAGAAAGCATCAAAAAGTTACCCGTCATATTGGCAAATGCTGAACGACCGGCAATCTTGTGCTACAATGCCGAACATTCCCGGAGTTTGTCCGTAGCAGTTCTGTGTCAGATAGGGTTCCCTGTACTCGTACGGCTCCCGGTATTCCGGCTTGTATTCTTTGTATTCCTTTTCTTTATATTCTTTCTCCTTGTATTCGGGTTTATACCTGTACCAGACACAAATAAACTTCTGTTTTTTACGTAACGTGGATTTAATATAAGTCGAAAAGAGTTTCGAATTTAATATGCATGTTAAAACAGCTTACTCATACTCATGTTTGTAGGCAGGTTCGTAGCTGGAATACTGATTTCCGTATGGTCCATACTGTCCGTACAGGTATGGACTGTAGCCGTTGCGGTATCGCGATCTGGAAAATATTCAAGTTTTATCGTTTTCAAAGACACCAGAAATAAAATAACTATGGCAGCGAAAGATTGGCAACAATACTTGTCGTAATAATAGCCACCCGCGCTGGCCGCCAGTTCTCCATTCGTGGCGTTGTTCTTCGTTCCATCCTGTGCGGCTCCCGAATTGCCGGCTGCATAACCGACGATACACACAAGACTTATCACGATGGAGAACATGTTGGCTCTGTAGATGGCAACCGAGATTAATTAGAAATGTAACACGCTGATAGTACACTGCACACACTGACCAACTGTTGCCGGTTGTGGCGGGGCTTTTTAATGCCACAGGAAGCCAGTCCTGTGCGCGCCGTGCGAACACACAATGCGCGCTGCGCATCGCTGCACTTGATCGTCTGTTTTTGCCGGGAACTGTACGATCCAGTCACTCAGCTGGTGAGCCGGAAGAATGGTCAGTGGTAATCGGATGCCGGCTGACCGATTAGAGGTTTACATCGCGGCGTTAAGAGAGATGCTGCACGTTGGCTGTTAATGAATGATTTGATTTTCATTAACGAGTGCAGCATATCGCGCGAGTGCACGAAATCTGAAGACTGTGATGATTGTTACTCTTGAGCTTCCATTCCGTTATGCGTAAATACACTTCCTTATAAACTCAGTTATGCAATCGTGGTGAAGTGCTGTCTTCTGATTGGAATTCTGTTAGTGTACTTGGCGAGTAATTGTATGGGCGTCTCATGGAGGGATTCATTGCGCCGGTTATTTTTTGGCTATTACAGTTCATTTCCGTCTACGGGAAAGGTATTTGTTTCGACTATGAAATTGCCTCCTTTATACGTGAAACGTTAAGATTACTTTGCGCAATACAGGATTCTTATTTGACGTCACTTTTCACCTTTTTTTAATGCAGAACTTGCACCGTTCAGAGTAATCCAACCGATACAGCTCCATGGAACGCATCCAAAAGCCAAAAATATCGAGTGAGTACGGTATGCTGATGTGTTCATAGATAGCTACAGCTTTGAGATTTATTTGCAACGTGATGCTTTGTTTTCTTAATCAAAAAGAATGAACCTTAATTTAGTAAATGTTAGTTTCTTTAAATGTAACGTGTAACGCTAACACTGTTCGTTGTAACGCAATTTTTGCTAAACAATTAATCAATAACTGTTTAGAGTCTTATGATTAGACTGTTCAGTTATCGGTAACATACAGTACACAAGAATACTGGTAATGCTTACTACGGCTGCGCAGCTCATGACCGATTTTCACGCGAGAACGTATACTCATTAATAAGCGTTCTGCTTTCCTGCACACTTAACAGTAAGACTAGTGCTGATGATATGCCCGGCTCAAAACGGAAAGTGTCATCTAATTACATATGTCTTGTCATTTTCGTATTATTCAATTCGGTAATACAGGAAGTCGTGTTATTTAGTTGTGGAAAATTAAATACCATTGCTTTTCTGTATTCGCTTGCTGTGAATAATGAGTGTCCCTCAAAATAAGCGTGACCTTGCACCAACAGTGAGAACAATCCGGAATACGTGCGGACCATCTTCAAAGTGCCCATACCCAACAATGCTCCTAGTATGGCGCAACATCAACCCGACAAAAAGCAGCTGCATGCCGCTGAAAACGAGCCGCTGCTAAACCAGCTGAGTCCCAATCGCACCGAGGACGCCCTCAACCACTCCATCCTGTCACCCACCGACATGCCCAGTGAGATGCTGATCTTCGCCACGGAGACTGCCATCAAAGCGGTAACGGCGTTCTCCAGTGTGTCCGATATGGCCGAGTATATGCGGATGAAGTTTGAGTCGCGGTTCTCCGTGACGGGAATGCCCGGCAACTGGCAGGCCAGTGTTGGGACGAACTTTGCCGCTAGTGTAAGTACACGTGATGCTGGTGCTCCGGTTCCGATCCGTAGTACTGCAATTTGGTTAAATTATATTGTAGATTCGCAAGAAAGTTGGAACGGGATTTTATGCCAGGTTAAAGGGAGTTTACTTCCTCGTCTATGCCACACCATAAGTCCCCTTTGCGCTTTTTGCTTGCCTGACGCTTCAGTAAACCAATCGCCGGGTGCTCTTGAAAACATTTTGTAAATATTTTGATATTATAATAATTTGTATTTGTGATGCCACTGTATTTTGGAGTGCAAAATACTGCAAATACTTGTGTGATGAAAAATCCCGTAAACCGGTTTGCGCAATTTCATAGCCTGGTAAGTTTGCACGTTCACTTTGTACGATTACTTTAAAAGATTAAGAAGCTCGATGCTGCTGAGAATATAAATGTACTCGTACGTATACAGTGACGGTATACTCGTATTTTTATGCAGACTTTACATATCCCGCTCAGGAGCGAATATCTATCATAAATCAATAACAATTATAGAGGCATTAAGATAATACATTAAAGCCATTTTGTGCGGTACAGAGCTGTACAGAACTGCGTTTTTCAAGAGCATTTGCATAAATTGTGAAGAACGTCAAGTGTTGCGGATCGCAGATCCGGTAACGCCACCATGAACAACAGCGGATCAAATATAGTTTGGACCAGTTTTAAATTGTTACCAATTTGGAATAATAATGCGACGTTGACGTAACGAATAAGCAAGTAAAATAAGTTATTCGGCGTCCAAAACAGAAACACTGACAAGGTCAACAGCGTCAGCATGAAAAACGACTTGGAAGTCGTCTTCATTCTGTCGCGCTCTGTCAAGAGCGCACTGTTCTTGGCTTGCGTAGTGGTATCATGCGAAACGGCCGCCACCGGTTGCGATACTGACACCGCGGGATCCGCAATTCGTCTTCGATATCGCAGCCGGCGAAATACAAAAAACGGATACGAAGCCAGAATAATGCATTCAGGGACAATGAAGAACATGGCCGAGATAGCGCTGATCCAAGTAGTTATAGGTGGGAAGTAACTAAGGTCACATCGCTGGTTAAGCCAATCCGTTCGATAATATAGGCCATCCAGGGCAATTCCCGGCACCGCGCAGATGTTAATTACCATGAACGTTGAGATGCAAATTACAGCGGCCATTTTGTGTGAATGATGGCGCTTGTAATTCATCGGTAATGCGATGGCCCAGCCGCGGTTCAGACTGATTAATAAATGCGTGATAGTCTGTGCGGCACTGAACACCAACTGAAAATATAGGCATAGTGTGCACAGAGTGGATTCCCAGTATAACGGCAAGATATCCTTGAGCAATAAGGGTACGGAGCTCAATGACAGGGCTTGACCGATATTGGAGAACATCAGGACCATAATGTAGATGCCAAACGGGGTTTGCAGTGTTGGCTTGACGCGGTAGATGTGGAGAAGGAATATGTTGGTAATGTACACCAGAATCGAAAGGGCACAGGTCAGTGTATGAGCGGATGTCCAGTGTTCGTACAGGAGAAACCGTATCGGGATTGTGCTGGAGTTCAACGGTAGTGTAGTATTGGTACTATTGTCAGCCATCTTTTACGCAGATACTTTGCTGTGCAGGAATGTGAAAGACATTCAAGGAGATACATTCAAGATTTTGAGATCATTCACGACCAGCCTGCGGCCAACAAATCTGCTTCGTCAGTGTGAAATTGGTTGGGGCCGTTTAATAAAACCTGCGGGAAATCCGGGAGTTAATATAAACTAAGTCAGTGGCTTGATTTTCTACACATAAGGATCAGAAAATTGTTGAAGCGAAACTTTGCTCCATTTCCGCCTTATTAAGTACTCCAGGGCATATGATTATTTTGAAATTTCTGTCTGCTTAAAGCATATTTTGAAATTTCTGTCTCTTTCAAATGATTTAAGGAGACAGAAATTGCAAAATAATCATATGCCCTGGATTAATAAGGTAAGAACACATCCGAAAAATTAATTACAGTAGAATCCTTACATCGTAACACGGTTTCCGGTTTCGGTGTACTAATCATCGGAGAAGTGTTGACACAGTCGTCGTAATTATGTTACCAATAAAGCATTAACCTTTGCTTCTTGCTCTTTGCTTGCTGTAAATAGTGCTGAACCAGATAAATGTAAACATCGCACAATGCACTGGTACCGGCACCAATCTAAATATAGGTTTTTACCATATATTCCTGCTACGCTTCGGTCATGCAGGTGCCCGCCAAAACCGAGTGCACTTTCACTTTCCTAGTAATATACACATTCAACATCTGACAACTAAAATGGGCTACACGTTAATGGCGCGCATACGTGCCACGTCATTGTCTGCGCTGTAAAGCAGACCTTTTCGCACAACATTCGTTAATTAAGCCTGTTGGAGGCTTCCACGGGATGGCCCTACTTCCGTTTACATACCCACTTCCGGTAAAGATGTCCTGTTTGGCGGACGCAGTCAGAGAAAAATACTAGATACAGTACCGTTGCCGAGAGCATAATATTGTGGGGTCACTAGTGCAGCGTACGCTAACTATGGACCACGCAGAAATTATATTCCCATACTGCGCACAAAAGTAAGAACGCTACTAGATCCTACTAAGTCTTTAGCGTGCTATGACGACTGCGTCATCGCATGTATTTATTTTTGAGTACGTGGAAAAACGAGGATTGTGTGCATTGACTTGTTTAAAATGTGTGGCGTAGTGCCGTGACACTGATGTAACACGAATTTTGTGCCTTTAGTTATCTACATACAGATATGTGGTGTCTTGCCTAGCATGGCAACGGCGGTAGCAGTGTGTCTGTGTTGTCCTGTTGATAACAATCTGCTGCTTTTGTGTGCCCTCAGTGGCGGGTCAATATTAAAGATATTAACCGCCACCTTCAAGTCGTGACACCATAAAAAAAAAATGTGCGCAACTGCACAAAATCGTAGAAGTACTGCTGCTTATGCGCAATTTAAGTTACACTATTGTGAAAATTTTTACACAAGCCTTAATGACATTGTTTGGTTTGATAAGGCCACTAGGATAGATATATCTGGCGAATTAACAAGGAGGTTGGTTTGCTTGTTTTCACGGGCGCGGGTTTCGGTATAGTAATACGATGCTGCGTTATTATTTGCTTGTTGGAAAGGATTTCTGGGTTTACAGCCATCGGTTTAGAGAAGGAAATTTATGCCTAGGGTAACTCACGAGTAACTACTGTGCAAACTGGACGAATTGACAGTGATTCAGTTACCTGCGTGTGCATTGCTAGATGTATGCAAACGAGTATACACTGCGAGCGGTTGCGTATATGCCCATCTTCCGTCTCTGATAGATCTGTATTCTGCACATCGTTGTCCACGTAAAACAGGAAAACATTTTCTCATCAGCTAGGCTAATTAGGAGCATCAGCATTTTTTACCTCGTTCTACTTCCGCTTACTTTTTAACTCGGATTTTCGGTGCAGTTACCTACCCATAAAAAAGTCGCATAGGCAAATTGTACTTTAAATGCAGACTTCTCTCGTGGGATTCCAGATCGCTGAATTACCATGTTCTGAGTAGCAACACGCTCATGTCTAAGCTGCAGCTGACTTCAAAACTTCAGGTAGTAGCGACACCTTTACACTACATATCCGCTGTACTCCTTACGGAGAACTACTACAATTCATGTTGTGCACTGTTTGAGCTCATGTCTGCCTCTACGCGGACTCAATCCCAATTTTGAATCCGCTCTTCTGTACAAAAAAATTAGCAGATCCCTTCCAGTTCTACATGTGTTCAGATGCGGGCCGCACTTGTGTTTAGCTACCTGGAAGGAATATGAGCATAACAACACTGATTTTGAAGTGTGCCGCACTTACTTGTTCTCACCTGCCCCACTTAATATTTGCATCTCTACCTTATATAGTCTTCGTTACCCCAAATTTGAAGTTTCATTTAAAGAACAGTTTTGAAAACAATACTTCAAGCAACTGCATCAATTATTTGGCTTGGAAATAACGTAAAATACTTGCTAAAATATATTAAGAGTTATCAAATTTGAGATTGCTCAGATATGTTTCATCTGTTAATTTTTCTCCCAGTGCACTTTCAACGTTTTCGGTGGGAGAGTTACTTCGTTGACTACTGCGGAACTTTTGAAACCAAACCACCCTGACAAGAGTCAATTTTAAATTTGACGTTGTATAACTTTGATTTGGATATAGGTGCTTCTCAAAGCAGCGGAAAAAGATTCAGTTTGTAGTCCGAACAGCGGTTTTTCTTTATGGGCTATTCATTTGGTGGCTTATATAGCCAACGGGGATTTAAATGTGTTGCGTTTGCAACTCATGCGTGAGTTCTTTTGCCAGCGCCTTTCGCTCGAGATTCAAGGAGAGAATGCCGTCTACGAAGAATTCAGAGAAGACGTTGTTGTTGCAAACTTGAAAAAATTGTTATTGCTAACTAAAGTTGTTATTGTTATTGTTGTTATGCCGTATTTATTTCAATCTGTATGAAAAAAGGATGGATGTACCGCCTGAAAAACAGATTAAGTGCGCCAGCGGGCATTTGCATTGGTGCAAACTGTCAAATAACTGCATAGAAGGTGAGGTTTTTATTTCGTTAAACACAAGTCCATACTGAAAAAAAAACAGTTTATCACAAAAACACACTGAAGATTAAGAACCCAATCACAATAATAAAAGTTTATTTAACGCTGCCGCTCCATCCATTGTTCCGTAGGTGTCTCCAGCAGAGTGCATGGGTGACTCCCAGCAGAAAAAGGACAAGGTAAGCCGCGCTGCCACGCATACACAATAAAGGGCATGCGACACTTTGCACATGGTTACGTCCACTTTCAGCCGACTGATATCCCGACCGTATTATCAAGGTGGTTACCGCTGTGTGCCGAGCTCGAAGGCGAAGCTTTCAGCCATATGTGGTTGTCCTCCTTACCGCGCAAAAATGCCCAAAAGCATTGAGAGCAAAAGCAAAATCTCAGCAATCATCTGTCCAGTCGATCACTTGTGTACACATGTAAAAAAATAAACACATGCATGTGTTTATTTTCTGAATGACTTTCATAAACTTTCATAAACGTTAACACATTTAGCTCGTGTCCTGTCGGCACTTGCGAATCTAACTGTCACAGCAGCGAGTACGGACAGAAATACATTTTAACTTGTTCCCTTGTTCCAACACACGTTACATAAACTGCGAAACACGTCAGCCGTTGCAGACCGCAGATCCGGCAACGCAACCATGAATAACAGGGGGTCAAAGAGAGTTTGCACCAACTTCAGATTATTGCCAATTTGAAAGACCAGCTCAACGTTAACGTG